ATCTAATCCAAGGGTTGAGAATTGGTCTTACGGGTCTCACGAAAAACCATTGGTCTCACATGATCCCAAATCTATATATATATATATGGGTCCATATTGTTGTCTTTATGACTTGTTTTCTTGGATGCTATATTGCTTTTATTTGTTTAGATGTGACCCAAATTGCTTTAATAATTCAAATGAAATCTATGGTCAAGAAAAATAATATTTGTATTAATAGATTAAACGGCAACCTAGTGATTCATAAAATTAGTCATAAATCGAGACTCGTCATCCTTATAAAAGAATGTGTGGTTCCTTTAACGAGGCGGAGTTGGTCATTGGTACAGGCATAGAATGCACGGAAAATGCACCCGTTCCTGACCCTGATCCTCGTTTACACCTCACTCCTGCCTAATCCCCTACTCATTTGGAGGAAAGAAATCCTGATAGGTATAGGGGCCGTTTACCTAAATGCTTATCTGGTAAGTGCTTATCATTAAGAGTCGACATTGTAATTTATTTTACTGGGTAAGATTGTAGTATATCAAAATGGTGTCGTATGCAACAATTTACCTGGTAAGTGCTTACCCGGGTAAGAATCGTGATCCTCACTTACCGAGTAAGACTCTTCATCTTTATCATTGCTCTTACAGGGTACGATTTTTTACCCTTGCCACGTTCATCCGGTAAGTTATCCACTATGTGACAATGAATTTTATTAGAACCTATGAGAGATAATTTATAAATAAGAAATTGTGTTTGGTAAATGTCGATGTCGAATCAATTTTTTTTGGTAATATTTGACATAGGTTTATGGAAAATGTAACAAATATATGCATAGTTTAAAAAAAAATACCAATATATGCAATGTTTATAGAAATACTGAATAAAAGATCTTTTTAGATCAATTTTTATAAATTTATAATTCTTTTGTGGTTTTCACATGATTATACGGGTGTATATATATATATATATATATATGTGTGTGTATATATATATCAATTATGATTATACGGGTGTATATATATATATATATCAATTATGATTAGAGATAGGCAATACCGTTTTTAACCATTTTCGATATGTTCTCGAATTTGATAAGAGAATGAAAGAAAGGAAAACAAAAACAATGGAAAGAAACATTATTTATTTATGTTTTTGTCAGGAAAGGAAAATGAGGAAACAAAATCATTTTTCATGTTTTTGAGTGAGAGAAAAGAAGAGCAAAATGTTGCTTTTTATAAAAATATCCTTATTTAATTTCCAGTTTATTGTAATTGTAATTACGATATATATATATGGGCCTAATCAAATGAAAAACTAATTAGTTTGTGGTAACTGTGAGAACCAATATTAACCACAAATCAATAGA